GATCTAATGTCCTGCAAAATCACAGCTTGCTTAAAACTAGTTTCTGTGTATAGGTAGGTCCACATTTATAAAAGTAAAATCACAGTGAAATGGCAGTCTTTTACATTACTTTGGAAACTACTGTGCCATATATGCTGTGAGATACATGATCAGAGTTTCAGAATGTCTTACAGCTCCACTTAACTATCTATTTGGTATACTGTCACTTGCTTCTTTTACCAACAACAATAAAAGAGAAAAACAACACACACACACACAGGCCCCAGATCTGGGGTGAATTTTCCTTTTCCCAGTGAGTAGGAACCACAACATACATATAGTTCAGTCAATCTGTGTTTTCTAAATATTTAAGTAGTGATCACCACAGTGTCTCAGAGTATATAGTACAGTGAAATTATAATCTCAGCCTTGTGAGAAATTGTATCTGAATTTTACTAAGCTTTTCATAGCCAAATTACAATTTAATGGTGTTTTGAGAGATTATCTGCAAGCTTTTAATTAATTAAGCAATTAATTCTAAGAAGAAAAAAAGTCCTGTGCTGACAAAGCATATTCCTAGCTTCTGCTAGTTGTAGTAGGTACACAATCTTAAATACCTTTGGAAATCTTGATTCATGTATCTAGACAAAATTATCTAATAATCTATAGTGTTTCTGACTCTGGTCATGCCTGAGAGGCTTGTGGGACCTGATTCTCAAAACCACCTGAGTGATCCAGTAAGAGTCAATATAGCAAAATATGTTTTCCATTTACTTGCAATAATTATTAGGAGTGGTTCTCTACACCTTGGAAAAATCTCAATCTGTCAGATTGTCTTTTCTGATTGCCTGAGACTTAAAAAGTTGCTCCAGCTAAAAATTTCAGGTTACTTTACACCATGGTGTTCTTTTGCAATCAGATACGATGCCAAGGGGCTAAAGAAATTAATATCCAGCAGTGGCTACTATGTTATAAAATTTGAGAAGCCATAGCGGTTCATCATGTTTTATGCTGGACACAAGAATATTCATAAATAAGTAATATGAATAAGAAGAACTACTTACTAGAAATTACCAAAATTCAGCTTTCAGCCTGAAGGTTGACTTTCCCATACACTTGGTCAACCTGCCAGATGTGATGTCTCCTTTAGACTTCTAGCCTCAGCGAAACTCCAGACTTTGTAATAAGTCTGTTTATGTATTTGAGTCTTTCCTCCAGAAATACTTGAAAAAGCCTAACAATTAAAATGCAAAACATAAGCTCTCTGCAGAACAGAATAAAATTATTGTTTGTGACTAAAATTAATACAGTCTGCTTTTTCAGGTGCAATAATATGTTCCAGGTGTCTCAGTGTGTCACTATGGGAGACAAAATATGTGCTGGAAAAAGTTTTACACTGCTTCAGCGGCTCACTTCAAATGTACTGTGAGGAAGAGAAGGCAAAATTGCTGTTAGCACTGAGAAATGTTCAAGTTCTACTTGGCTAAGTGTGTATTTTTATGCCAAGTATATTAAAAATGTTTGGCTTTTTCAGAAATAATTTCTTTTTGTTTCTTCTTATTTTGAGGCTGAAATGGCCAGTTTTGTAATCATCATTACACTGATTCTGTTAAGAGAGTTTTGTGAAGAGAGTGTTAACTTGTAACTCAGGAGAGCAAATAAACCCCTCCCCCCTTTTCTGTGGTTTTGTCGTTGGGACAACTGTATCAATGTGGCTTGCAGAAGCTGTCCTTCAGTTCTTTCAAGTTTCTGTGGTTTTCTTTATACAATTGATTTCCTAGCAACTGAGGATTCTTGCCCCATGTCCTCAGAGCACAGTTGAATGATTAGAATATTTCAGGTTTCTGTTAATTCTTATTGTATTCATTCCAATTTGTTATCTTGCTTTGCTTCAATGTGCTTATTTTTCCATGTACTTAACTAAATAGGGTGGAAGAGGAAGGATATTGCATGCTCAGCATATAAAATACCATTAATAAAGGGTATAACATTTAAAAGACTTTTTAATATAAGGCCACCTAGAAGTTTTAAGCAGCACATGTGCAGATGGATAGAGGACTCTAGATACAGACATGAGTTCACGGAATGTGGAATTGTAGAAGGTGCACATGCACAATACAGTCAAAATATCTGAGCCAGTGGTACTATTTTTATGCACCTTCAAGAAGGTGTAAGGTTTAGTTTTCTAGTAGAATGAGAAAAGCAGTGTGGAGTAAATGAAAACAAAAAGTAAGTCAATGCAGCATAATGATCCATATGCTGGATCTATGATACATTTACAATGTATTTCAAGTAAGATGGGACCCATACCGTAACTCTTTTGTAGGCTTAAAATCAGGTGCAGAGGGGCATTGCAACAGTGCCATGTTTTGTACCAAGCCAGTCAAGACCCTTCATAGATACTAGTGTATGTGATTTTACTAAATTGTACAGTCTGAGTCCTTGACTGGAAGATTATTGTTTCTGAGAGTGGATGAGGGTGTAACCCTGTAGATCATGCTGAAACATGCTTCTGAGCATGATGATTCCCTTAAGCAGTCCCATCTCCCTTCCTTTAGTTGCCAAGAGTAAATTGAAGCCTTCTTAAACAAGCAGCAGCTGCACAGGCAATGCAATCAGCATGATAACTGACAGCTGTTGCTCCATTGCCTGAAGACTTTGAAAACCATCTATTGTATAAAAGGAAACTTCAGGCTACTCTGTTCCTAAATTTCTCTGCCAATGTATCACTCAGAGCATGTAAGGCCTCTTTACTAGAGTACAAAAGTAAGTATTATTTTTCCCCATGTTTGTACCACTCACTGAATTTCATTTAGCATGTATACGAAATATCTAGCACATACCTCATTTTTGATCCTATATGAACTTGCTCTGTTATTTCAGGATGTACAAATCCTAGTCTTGTTGAGCTAAAACATCAGTTTGGAACTTGTGGAACATGCTCCACTTCATCTCACTTCTGAAGAAAGGGTGTCTTTTGATTCATGCTCTAGATTGGGACTTAGAAAATTAGAGGTTAAATGTTTTTTCTGTATTCCAGACAAGCTGTATAACTTTGAGAAAATGATGTATACTCCTCTGTTCCTAAAAATATGTAACTTATAAAAATGTGGGAAAACAGTATTTCCATAGGTGACAAAGCCATCACCAGAAAGTGCTCAAATATACTGGTGACGGGCACCACAGGAAAATGGATTTGTAACTCTGGAATCCTGTCCTTCAGAGCACTAAATACCTTGGAGATAGAGGAATAAAACATTTTAAAGACAATTGCTCAATTTATAGAAGAGTTAACAGTTTGTACTATTTCAAGCCTGGACCACATGGTGTAACTGAGTGTAACTTAATATTTTTTAGTTCCAGATGCACTTGGAAATAAACCACTGAGTACAAATTATGTTTCCCCCCCATTTGTTAATCTCCAGTAGTATTTTGGATGCTATAATGTTTTTAGGTTTGTTTGTTTGTTTTAGTGGAAGGTGCAATTGAGTTTTCGATGTTTAAAGCTGGGATGTTAGAACAGCTTTCTATTGCTGTGAAGCTGTTCTAGACACCAAGGTTGGTAGGATCATTCCAGATCTGAAATTATGGGGTTCCTGTAGCATTTTGGGAGGATAATCTAGTCTTATTTTTGCAGTGAAAGTTTCAGATGCCTTTAAAAGGCAGATAAGACACACAACACTAATGGCTATTCCTACCAAAGCTGTAGGTGCTAATTCTGATTAAAAAATGTTTGTAGTAGATAGTTGCTAAGCCCATAGCTTTCTCTTAAACCACTTGCCCTTTAGGACATATTAATGCAGATACCTGACATACTGCTATTATAGCCACGGGAGAAAAGGGGCTTTGGGGAGCCATCAAAAGAGGAGCATAACAGCAGCCTTGGCTGTTTCAGGGTTGCAGCTACTACCATACCTACAAAAACAAGCCCTGGTCAGCTAACAGCATAGTAATTTGGATTGCTAGAAACACTGAGATCTGGAGGCAAATTGTTTTGTCACCATAATGGAGGGAGGCACAGGTTACTGAAATCACAGCAGTGTTGTTAAGTAACAGCACTAAATGCAATAAATGGCTGGACAAAGTGGTTCTCAGAGGAAGAAGGATGAAAAGAATATAACACACATTAGAGTGACCCCTGGGCCATTTGCGTTGGCTTTGCTTGGCAATCTTGTAAAACTTGAAGGACTTATGTGACAGTTTCCACTTCTAATGGAGTATACTGCACTTAATAATTTAAAAAGCTGTCCTCCTGCATTTTCTGAGAAACAAGAATTTATGCTAATGAAGAATACTTGTCTGTTCAGTCTTGTTCCCCCTCTGGCTTCATCTTGCATTATTTCTTTTTCAACTACAGAGAATTCAAAGTTCACACAGCTCTTTTCTGAGAATCATTATGGAGAAAATGTGACAAAACAGAATGTTGAATTTGTTTATCATTCCAAAAAAATCACTTCCAAGATCTCAGTGACACTAAAATATTAGAATAAAATGAAATGGAGTCTAAACAGGCACAAGGGATATACACATGAAAAGTCAACAGAAAAGAAGCTTGAAAAAATTTATTTAAGGCTATCATTTAATATCCTTAAAGCTTAGCCTTTTTATAACAAAGGTTTTAAGAGGGATATTCACTTTTTAGGCATTTATAGCTGCCAGCCGCTTACAAATAACACATATAACTGGTGATTGAATCCTTTGTGTGTAGAAGTCAACTTTTTAGAAAAATAATTTTATCGTTAAATATAAATGGAGTTACTTCCGTCCTAATAAATGGAAAATATGAAGATATGGAACTTTCATAGTCATAAAGCTGTTAAGACAACCAACCCTTGAGAATAAGTTTTCCATATATAAACCTTTGGCAACACTAAAGTATAGTACAATTATTTCCTGGCATGCAAGGTGACATAGCTTTGTTACACCCAATATAAATGACAGAATACAGATTTCAGAATCTCTTAATAACTGGCAGTCGATGCAATGAAGATCTTCATTTATCCCATTTGTATTCTGCATTTTTACTGGTATTCTCCCAAAAGGTCCCTGGAAAAAAAGGGAAAAAAAGAAAAAAAGCAGCAGTAATTAGGAAATATTCTAATTCTCTTAAGATTTCTGAAATATGTGTGGAACATATTTTTTCTGTTTAAGAGTTAGCAGATGTTAATTCCACAGACCCTTCAATGCCTCTCTTTAATAGATTGAAAACAATTACTCCTAAAGGAAAAGCTTTTTAATAGTTTCTAATAGATTATTTTCCTAAGTTGTTTGTTTCAATGCTGAACTACAAACAAATACAAAACAGAAAAATGTTAATTAAATCTGTATTTTAACTATAGCTTCTAAATTTGTTGATACTATATTGGTTGTTTCAAATTTCCAAGATCAACTAGTCATTTTGGATGCTTAAGTAGTCAAAAGACTAAAAATTAATTTTTACAGAACGGGCATCCAACATTTAAAAAAATCTAGCCACTCATATGTGCCTTGAGTTGGCATTCTGTTATTTTTGGAAATAACTCTGCTCAAGTTAAACAGGAAACTATTAAATAGGTTCACCACTGATGCAAAATACAAATGATATTTGGAATCAGTTCTGTGTAGTGTTTTATCCTTGTTCAGCACTGTCTGTAACAAAGTTTGTAACACAGTTACAGGTATGTCAATAGCTAAGAGAAAAACTACCAGTATTTTCTGTATGTGTGACAAATACATTTAAACCCCTGGTATATTAAGAAGAACAATCAAAATTCAAGCACCTTTGGGTAACTTTTGTGTTAATCAGCCATTTTAGGAACTCTTTGGCAGCCATGTCATCAAGGACTTTGTTGATATCACTTGTGAAAGTGCCATCTGCATGTCTTCGGCCCATTTCTTCAGCCACAAGAGCATTCTCTGGGAAACTTCAAAGGGAAGAAATTATCAAACAATTTGCTGATCAAAATTAAAAAAAAAAAGTTTAAAAGGGCCTTATTACAGGATTCTAATACACTGCATGTTTCCTGTGATTTTAAGGAGTTAAGGGTTGAGTCTGATGTTGACTCATTACAGCACAATATATATATAAGCATATCTTTTGAAGAATTATTTTAATGACAAAATTAAGCATGGACATCTCCCTTTACCAGATGAGGACTGTTCCTTCAAATGAGTATTAATTTCTTTCTACCATTTTTTTTTAAAAACCGTATGTGCAAAAACGTATCTTAGTCTGCAGTGTCTGTGCCAAGTAGAACAGGCATCAATAAAACTCACAGTAGATTTACTAAGAATCATTATTTGAGAAATAAAACTACTAAAACATTATAGTAAATTTTTCATACTTTTTTTTCTGTTTTAATTGGACTTAGGTCCTAGTTACATACTTACAATTAGATTGCACAAGTATTTAGATGTTAAGAGCAACAACTTTTTTTGGGGTGTTAATATAACTCAATTATAACACCTGTATAAAATTTATGTGCTTGTTCACTGTAAAATAGTATTTTATATTTGGAATCAGATCCTGATTCTTGCTCTAGCTTTTTTTTCACCCTTAGAATACTATTATGCCTCATTAAAAAAACACACAACACTTTCCTCTCTAGTTTAATCCTATCAAATATAGAAGATTTTAATGAATTCCATTACTGTGGTCTGATACTGAGCACACTGTGCTCTGGGATCAATGACAGGCAGACTGGTTTCTTTCATGCAATAATTTAAGGACAGCTATATACAAGTTTAACCACAAATAATACTAAATATTGGGAAGCAGAAAGGCAGTCTACATTTAGTTGTCCATCTATGTTTCTAAGCTCAGTTCACCACTGCTAGCCTGAAATCTCTCTTCCAGCTAATAAAATACCCTAATTTCTGCTCATGAAAATAAAGCATGACAAAAAACCAACTGCAAATCTGGACATCACTAGGAAGTGGCAACAGTGTTTCCCTTCTCTATATAGCTGACCTAATTTATTTAACTGTTTTGTTCAGGAAATCATCATTATTTACAAAATTTAATTTTACCTATTTACTCTTCCTTGACTACAACACACAATCTCATCTTACAAATTTATTTTATTGTTATTGGTGTTTATTATTTTTATATAGTGAGAAAGACTTACATAGTACTTTACAGCTGGTAGAATATATCATCAGAGGATGAACTGAAATCCCTGCCCCGAAGAGCTTACAGTCTAAAGGCACAAATAAGTACAAAACAGCTAAAAGGTGTGCAGTGGTATATACATGGTATAGCTCCTAACCATGCAGAGTTGGAAATATGATGGGACAGAAGGTGCCTGCAGGAGATTGAAGGTAAGGCCATTCTAAGTGTAAGACTATAATGAAAAAAGATGTAAAGTTATGAGTGAGTAGTCAAGTGAGTAGAAAATTGAGAAATTTGCAATGAGTGTGTGGAGAACAAGATACTAATGAAATAAATCAGAGACATAGGTAGGTCAAAACTGTGGAGCACTGCATCCAGAAAACCTTGAATCATAGCAAGAGAAGTAGAAGCTTCTTAAAAAGGAAAATAATTCATAGTAGGAAATAATAATTATTTTGGCAGTAGCAACTTTGGGAGACTTTATGGAACATGGGAAGAGGAAAAGAAGTGATCAGTAAGTGCTGGGAATGATCACCAGCACATGGAGTACAGCTGATGACATAGGTAAAAATTTAATCCTGGAAATATTGCAGAAAAAAATGACTGTGAAAGGGAAAGAAAGAGTATTTTAAGATGACACTGACTTGAATAATCTCAGTGACAGTTAAGGAGACTGTAAGCAATGTTTCGTGAAGGGGGAAAGGTGGTAGTCAGAGGAAGTTTTAAATATGTTGACCTTAAATGTAACTTGACCTTTTAGCATGTAACAGCATTCTGAACAGGTTTGTTTTAGTATGTATTTAAACTTAATAAAGTGGTATTCTAACACTGAAAGAATATCTTCTATTGCAAAAGAAAAACATGAAGTACAGCAAGAGCGATCAAAACCACATCAAGGTTTCATCAGACTTGATTTCTAACCCCAAAAGAAAGGCAAAATTTAAGAATAGGAATGGATGGATTCTTACTCTCTTCTTCCTCGTCCATTGACTAACCAAGCAATGAACTCTTTGGCAGCTTGACCTTCCAAATAAGAGGTGATATCACTGGTGTAGGTGCCTTCAGCATGTCTCTCGAATTCAGCATGACGCTTGGAGATTGCATTGCTGAAAGAAGAGCAACAGTGTAGCAGCAGACAGCATAAGGACTTTGTTGGGTTTTTTTAACCTTTATTGATTTCTGTTTGACACCCACAAGAATAGCATTTCTTATTTCTTATTATTTTGCTTCTCAAATTACTCTTGATATTTTTCAGTTCTAAAGGCATTGTCTGTGCTATGCAATATAATTTTATGCAGAGATGCTTATCTACTACTTAACTAATGAAAGAAGGTGCTGAAAGCAAATATAGCTGCATTGGAATGGTCTAGATTAGTTAGCTCTGATCAACAAACTGTATTGTATCCTACAGACATACTTTTTGTTACCTCTTGTGTTAACCTAAAAATTTCCTTTAAGTCACTCCTCCTATCTTCATCTTCATTATTTCTTAGCCAAACTGTTCGGACCTAATTCTTCTGGAATGTATATTTAAAATTGATTTGTGAACATGCTTTTTCTCTTCATTCTGACAAAGTGATAATCTTGGACCAATTTCAAGCCTTATCACCTCCAGCTTAAGAGAGAAAGACAATTGCCTTCTCCCTCCTGTCATTATGCTTCTTTCTCTAACATAGAACAATATTATGTCACACTGTCCCTTAGGAAGGCAAACTGCACTTAGAAGTAGACATACTATGGAATATTTCCATGACTAAGTTCCCTAGCATTTCTATTTCAGAATTTGCTAATTTCTGCCCAATCTTCAGGGCCTGTAGCTCTTTCTATTATTTTTTATCTTACTGGGATTTCACCGTTCCTCCTTATTTAGTACCATCTGCACTTTTCATTAGCACGCTAACCAGTGTTGTTTGGAACATTTTGAATGAAACATTAATTTTCTTGAGATACGTGTTTCATTGAAGCTGAAACAACTGATATTGACATTGTTTTGAATTGAAAGGATCTTTGTGGTCCAGGATGTCCTCTTTGGAATTTCTGACAAAGGTGACAAAGGTGACAAAGGAAAAATGAAGACAGATACTTCAATCTGCTTAGCAAAAAAAAAAATAATACTGTTGTGTTTTTTTTTAATTGCTTTCAATTTTCCAGCCCCTCCCAGCTTCTCCCAAAAGCGCTGTCAAGAAACAAAATTCTGGCCTCTAGGAAGTCTTGTGTTCTCCCTTCCTATAATGAGCCATATATGTAACACAGGACTGAGGCACTTTGGGCTGAGCACTGTATCATGTTTTATCAGCTCTCTGTAAATTGGTGCCTGGCCATTTTCCTTTCATCAATCTCACTGGTTTTGTTTTCCTCAACATAATGTGGTGGGTTGTTTGTGGGTTTTTTTCTTTGTTTGGGATGTTTGTTTTTTTTTCCTTCAACCATTTTCTATTCCAAGTTGGTTTTTTATCTATTTCCCTACTCTCATTTATTACTTGGAATATCCTTTCCTGAAGTCTGTTCTCATCCTGTTGCATTCCTTGAAGCCCTTTCACACAGCTATAGAACACATGTATAGGAATAAATAATATTTCCTCTTTCCTTGTTAACACAGGTGTGAAATTATTCCTTTTGACATGTATTTCTTGGATTGTGCTACTACTGTAAAGAATACTAGTTGTTTTCCTTCTTGTTTAACAGAGAATGAGCTCAAACTGGTTTTGGTAAGAAGTTGTGGCAACTAGAATACCTTGAGGGCTGGTCCAGGAATTTGTCATTTTCTTTATCTTCTTGTCCTTGTTGGCTGTAGTGGAATTCCATAATCATTAGATCATTACTACCAGTACATTGCAGAATATGCATAAGTGGATATGATTTTATCTGTTATTACGTAAATATTATGATAAACAACCATGACTGATAGATTAATATTAAAAATAATTTCAGGCTTATGAATTTAAATTAATACAATATCTAGAAAAAAATTATACTTTTAAGACTTCCACAGGGATTAAAAAACATTAATATCATAGATTTTTTGATTCTGTGGACAGATCTGTATAACACAGGGCATAGACTTACATGCTTTTACATAATTCTTGCTCTCAGCTTGGTAGTGTGTGTATATTTTAAAAAAATGCCAACTGATCCCATAATTGTGATACTGGTAAAGTATCTATTGGTCAGTAAAACTTAAACCTTAGCTCTCTTTTCATAAAGGAACCTTCAGGATTAGAGTATTCATAGATAGTAAAGTTTTATTAAGGCCCAATGGACCAGACCTTTACATTATATTTATATATTTTATTCCTATTGAACTTAATTCACTGGAAAAATCTTCCCATAGAGACTGAGATAGTCTTTTTAGATGGCTTATCAGGTAATGTACTGATAGCACACTTGGTTTATCCAAATTCTTTTGACTGTTTTTTCGTATATTCCCCATTTCTAATAATGTATTAACATGTTTTCCTTAAGCACTTTACTTATGTGGTCTTTGATGGGAAGCTGAAATCAATAAATGGAAGTTAGCTAAAGTTTGGGCTGTTTCTGTATATGAAGATCTATAGCAATGTGATTAAAGTGCTTACCCATTTCTTTTAGTGCTCATTAACCATTGCACAAAGTCCTGAGCTCGTCTAGTGTCCAAGTACTTGCTGTAATCACTGGTGAATGTGCCTTGTGAGTGACGTTTCACTTCATTCAGCTGTCTAGATTCATCTAGTGGGTCAGACTGGGAAGCTTTGAATGATCTGGGAAAAGTTTAGAACTTGTTAATTGGCAATGATTACAGTATGCTCTACAGGTGAATTGACTACTTTTAAAAATACTATTTTATACTCACAAAGTTAAAGTAAGTGCACATTAATCACCAGCTAGCTAGTAAAATGAATCAACATGGCAGACTGGATACTGCACAATGACAAGGTCTTAGCTAGCTAAGGCAGCCATTGTAATACCAAAACTTTCTGTGCTAGACTTTGCAATAGTAAAAACGTTTGCCAATTCCATATTTTTATTTTTTTTTCCTTTCAGACTGTAAGAAAAAAAAGTCAGGCCAACTGTTTCTAGAAGTTTGAGCTAAAGAATTTACCTTGATTTCTCCTCTGTATCCTGAAGAGGATTTTGCCAGCTGCCTTGAACTATCATTAAAAGGAGCCCAGCAACAAAATAAACACTTTTGATTTTCATTGCCTGTCAAAACAGAAATAAGGCAACAAAGAAAAATTTAATAATCTTTACATACATCTGAATAAATTACATTGAGAAGAGACAACCTGAATGGTGATCTAAGCTTGATGATTTTGAGACCCCATTAGGATGGGGTCCACGTCCAGTAGATAGAAACTGTAGATTCAAAAGATGTAGTCTCTGTTCTAGTTTTTAGACTCTGGTTTCTATTCTAGAATGCAACGTGAGCTGAGAGCAACTGCATTCTTGTTTTCTTTTGTCATATGAGGATAAAGGTCTGTTTCTCCTTTGCTCTGTGTTCTGCTGATGGCAAGCATTAGATCAATTTCTATATTACTGTTTTATTGCAAAACAGGGGTATTGTGTAAATTTTGTTTTTTCCCCATCTCATTCACTAGAGAAAAAACAAAGCAAGTATCTGTCAAGAATACTATCACATTAGCAGCTCCCCATTCCTTCCTTCTGGCCCTCCAGCCTCCTTTTAAAAGTTTGTGTTTTCTTAAAAAAAATAACAGATCCTGCAGCAGTAGGCCTCTGGACTTACTAATGGCTTACTAGTAGGTGTGAGTCCTTAGAAAAATAACCACCAAACCATACAGTGGCTTGTATTCAATTAATGACAGGATGTCAAGTTTTGCTTGTTGCACTATTGACATCATACTTTATTTCAGCTTAAGGGCTTCCATTATGTGGCCATATAGGATACACAAGATATGGGGTATATAATTCATATTAATTGTAACTAACCAAAATGGAAATTTTGGCATTCCAGATGTAATTATTACTGTCACAGGTCATTCTATTGGCTTCAACCGTGTAACAGAAACGTCTACATTATTGTATGTGTCATCAAGTGCACTGTCATAGCTTGAGCAGTATCACTGACTTTAATGTGAGATTATTCAGTGTAAACTAGAGTTTTACAGTCTGTTCAAATGCTTTGATGATCCACAACTAAGCTGTGATTCCCTTACTTGTATTATTGACTGCTTTACTCATGCAAGTAGTAAAGTTATAACTTTTAGTGAATAGTCACAAATGCAAATAAGGCATTCTCTAATACCCTAATTATGTGTGCTACAGTTTTCATTATTTAATGTAGTAGTCTTAGTCTTAGTCTGTCATGATCCCCCATAGGACAAACTTGGTTGAACAAAGAAATCCAAAAGGAATTATGAGCAGCTAATGGCTAATAGACTCAAAAGTGCTTTGCATAAATGAGAGGAAATCTACTTACAAAATCAGCTAGTGTATATTGTTTATTTTTAATATTTTTGATCACTTAAACTTATGGAACGAATGTACCGAAAAGGAAATTAATTTGATTAGGTACTTTTTACCTTGATAAAGAAACAGAATATGCTATTCAGTCAATGGCTAAATGCTTATTAATTGAATGATAAACAGTAAATGCTCATTCATTCTAACTTTAAAATCATATGGATCACAATATTAATCTGCTCTAAAGCAACTGAAGTTGCAATGAGTTCACATCAGCAGAATGTCACTGGAAATAATTTCATCCTGTACTTGGGCATGTATTTGAAAAATCCCTTCTGCCATTCATGGCACTTTCCTATGGAAGTCTTTGTTACAGTCTGAAAAACAAAGGGAGATAGGAAAAGTGAGTGAATTGAAGTAAAGTGGTAGGTGGCAAAGTAAGATCCAGGCAAAAAAACAGCCTCCCCACTAAACATAATCTGCACTGAACTCCTCCAGCTCCACTGGAGGAGTTATTTATTGAAATTCAGTGACTTATAAAATAAGGAAGTTTGAGTGAAAACACTTATTCTCTACTGTAATGCCTTGTCACAATAGGCTGGATTTAAATATCTTGTGGTCTAGAGGAAGCCATAAGAAAGTTATGAAAGAAAGATGTGTAGAGATTTAGAATTGGCTCTGCAAAGAGCAGTGCAAATGGGCAGCTAGCTGAAAAAGTAAGCTGCATCAAAAACCTGACTGCTGTAGGACTTTTACTCTGCCCCAGTGTCAGTATCAAAGTATTTAAGGCAATAAAAAACATTAATAAAATCTTAATCAAACCCAGGAAAATAAATTGATGGAAGGAAGATTTTCTGATGGATCATGCTATTAAGTAATGGGAATCGATTTTCCTCTCTGCAACAGAAGCTACTGCCAGGGTTGCTCATTTTTTTTCATCAGTGTGTTTGGAGACTAATTTCTGCCTTCTATAATGTCCTCATATATGAAATTTGATGTCTACAGTTGCACATATCCTGTTATAGTACCAACAAATACCATAATGGCCATGTTGTCAGTCCTATTATAACTAAGTCTCTTTAAGTCTCTTTACACTGTTTCATTTGGAGATGCAATTTGGTGGTGCAACACTGACATCCAATGTTTATCCAAAGGAATGCATAATTTCACATTTCATAACCTTCCAACAATGGAGCAAAAACTCTGCCTGCTCTTTGGGAGACAACTCTACTGTGGTCACAGAAATGCTTTGACTGTACTGTAGTGCCCCCATGTTAGCTGATATAGCTGTAAATGCGTTAATTTAGACACTAAATACAGTCTGACCATTGCACCATGTGCAACTAAATTTACCCTGCTTAATGGGAAGCTAGCAGTTAACATTTACTTAACCTGAAAAACTAAAGAAAGAGTTTACATCTCTGTAGTCTTGTTAAACCATGATACAGATTAGGCACCTAAGTTACTGAGGTGGAATGAAAGAAATCATCTAGCCATTAATCCAGTCTCCTTATAGTAATATTAGACAGCAAAAGCTATCATTTTATATAAAACTTAACATCCCCCCACCCCAATTCAAAGCCCATTTTAGCCAGTAAACAGATATTCAGTAATTTCAATGTATCTTGGACTTAACCCATGCCTAAGTCCTATACAGCTTTCAGATGTCAACAGTCCCAATATGCCTTAAGAACATGTTTAATGTAAAATGCATGTTTAGCTTCTTTCTAAATTTTTCAGAATCAAAACCTGGGGAGAGTACTAAAAAGAAAAATGTATATTTTTATTTATTTATTTTTAAAATTAATACAGTTTTCAAGTAATAAAATTGTTCTTGATAAAATAAGCATTTTCAGAATGCTTGACATTTCTGTCAAGTATGTTCTTTTAAAAATGAAGAATCAGTTTTGTTTGTTCAATGTTTACTGCTTGCTATGGATAACCCAAGCAAGCAACAGCAGTTTTTGACTGCTGTTGAAGATGTTACAGTTTTTAAAGAAGAAATTGTTATTTTATTCTTGGGAACACAAACATATCTTGTAGATAAAAAATGATCAGCAAAATAATATTTGTTTAGTTTATTCCTG